GGGCCAAAATGTAAGTTGATTACAACAATAGGACGAAAACTAAAAATATTGAAAGTATTTTAGGAAAAAGAAAAATAAGAAGTTTTTGGTAGCAAAATTGAATACCATAGAATTTTTAGGTGTGAGAATGGTGCGGTTTTTGGTAAATACCGAATCAAAAACCGCAACTTCGGTTTTTTGAAATTTAGTAACAACACCGTTCGTTTTTATGCGGTTCGGTTTTTGTGGTTTTTATTGCGGTTTTTTACGGTTCGGTTTTTTTTTTTTTTTTTTTTTTTTTTTTAGTTTTCATTTTGCCTTTTTACTAAAATCACGTAACTCGGCGAGTTACTTTGACTCAAATGAGAAGTGTTAATCATTTTTTGGAGATGAACCGATACCACCACTTCTTGATTTGAAATCAAATTACATAATCATTTATCTAATATGTTTCTAATGCTTGAACATAATACGAATTTATTATAATATTTGTTTCACAGGTACATGTAATAATATTAATGTATTCATAAAAATGATATTATCATCACTGGTACTCTTCACATTTAAATGTTAAAAAAAATCATAAACATTATTTGTTATTGTAAATATCACTGATTGTATGTTTAAAAATATAAAATCATCATCCGATAGATAAGATATATATATTTATATTTATAGAAATTTTAATTATCATAAGTTATTGGTTCTTACAAATATCAATACTTAATATATATATATATATATATATATATATATATATATATATATATATATATATATATATATATATATATATATATATGCGGTGCGGATCGGTTTTTTGTGGTTTTTGCAAGGCTAGAAACTGGACCACACCGAGTATTTTCAGTTTTTGCAAAAACTAAAAACTGCACCATCGATTTTCATTTCGGTTTCGGTTTATGATGTTTTTTTCATTTTTTTTTGTTTCTGGTTCGGTTTTTGCTCACCCCTAAAAATTTTGTTCGCAATATTGAAAGCCTTAAAAGTTAATAATTTTATTTTCAAGAATAGTTAAACGGAGGAGGATGAATAAGTAGACGTAAAGCACTTATTTTGATGTATAAGTATACAAGGTCATGACAAATTGCAAACCTAAGTTTTCTCGTCTTCTTATCATCTTTGCATTATTGGTCAACAAATAATTTTGCATCTCAATATCAACCGTCCTACTTGGCAAGACTATATATGTTGACTTGAGTCTCCATTTAATGCGCATAAATTACCTACATAGTTAGACCAAGAAGAGTTGAGTCAATAGGAATGTCTTGTATTCTTATTATTTTCCAAAGACGCTTTAAATTATAATATTCATGAGCGGATATACTATATTGTACGGGATAGTACGTGGTACCTTTCAAATTTTCCCGTCAAATACAAATTTAATGAAAATTTATCAAAATCTCTCACAAATCCGCTGTCAGTCCATCACAAAGTTTGGTAATTGTGAATTTAATATAAATTCGTCTGTTTATTTATGATTTTGTGACGGAAACTGCTTTCATAAATAAGTTTTTTTCTAGAAATTAAACCCCTAAAAAAATTATGCAACCATGACTTTTCTTTTTGGACTCGTCCATGATTATTGACACTTATATTTTAAACAAAATCAATAAATTTTTATTACATTTGTTACCATCTAAAAGTTATAGAAGCAAGACTAGAAAAAAAAAAAAAAAAAAGGATATTTAATTTCTCATTGTCTTGTCATACTTTTTGCAAAGTTATTATTTACACTAGTTTTCGGGTGTTTTCTATTTGAGTTGCAATCAATTCTTTAATTATATTGCGCCAATGAACCAAACCCATATTGTTAAACCAAGAATATTCATTGGCTAATAATGAACCACTTGATTTTGTTAAACCAAAATTAAAAAAGGCTTACCACTATATTAGTGGATTTATGAATATGGACAATAGTGACGAGTGAAAAGTATCATGATCAAGGTCCCTGAGCACATACATACACAGTGTGCGACGATATAGGGTTTGTATCGTTATGGGTCTGATTTTTTTTATCAGCCGTGTTTCGTCACTAATCTGCCATTAATCCGTCACTAATCATTTCTATCCATTGCTAATCCAAAATTTAAAGGTCCGTTTTTAATTTTCTCATAGGACCTTCAAAATTTATGGGCCGACCCTGATCATATGGTGATATATAACATATTCTCATTAGATAATTAAATATCTAATAATACCAAAATATTTTCTTGACATGTAACAGTTCCTACAAATACAAAACATTGTAACGTGTAGAATAATTCAAAAAGTACTATTAGAAAGCTACATTTTAAATAATTTATTTAAATGAAATGTTTGTATGCTACACATGACAAAATAAGAACAAATCCAAAAACCTATACTTCAATTTTCCATAGTTGCCTGGACCCTTGATGGGCAAGCATATATTGGATCGTACATGAGGACTCCGAGTCTCCGACGTTAATGAGCTGAAAAATGCATCATCTCATGTGCATTCACATGTAGCAACTTACATGGTCTTTAACGACTTCAAATCTTAATCTATTGTTGTGGACCCTCTGTGACAATTACTGGGGCCTCTTAAAAACCAAAGTCATTTGAAAAAACCATAATTAATATAGCTAATAAAATGACATTTGGTCGGTAGCAAGGAGTTACTCTTTCAAATGAAGGGTCATGAGTTCAAGTATCCTGGAAGATATAGATTATATTTATGAGTAGGTTAGCTGGTTTACCGTTTAAAAAAAAATTACCTAGTTTTTTTGAACCGCTAAGACACATCCTTTATATATATATATATATATATATATATATATATATATATATATATATATATATATATATATATATATATATATATATTGTCCACACCATGTTGACCAATGACCCATATTTCATCCATGTACACCATAAGCAACTATCATATGTTGACCAATGACCCATATGTCATCCATGGGTGATGCCATGACACCATAAGCAACTACTATGTTGACCAATGACCTATATGTCATCAATTTACACCATTAGCAACTACAATGTTGACTAATGACCCATATGTCATCCATGGATGATACCATGACAGCATAAGCAACTACGATGTTGAGAAATGACCCATATGTCATCTGTGGAAACCATAAGCAACTATCATATGTTGACCAATGACCCAAATATCATCCATGACACCATAAGCAACTACCACGTTAACCAATGACCCATATGTCATCCATGTACACTATA